CAGAAATATAGAACAAGAATCAAATTATTATAGGACAGTTTGGCTTATTGCTACGAATACATAAATTAAAAAAGTTATGTAAACTTGTTTGATTCCCAACTGTTAATTCAAATGATTTAAGACTTTTGTTCCAGAATGGGAATATAACAATCCCCTAATGTTTACATTTTTCTTTTTTTAATAAAAGTGTTATTTTAAGCACTCAAATTAGTAGCATTAATTCTCAAATCGCAATAACAACAATTTAAATACTAAAAGTATGCGGATGCAGCACATCCACAAACAGGCACTCACTGTAGCATGTGCAATAGTCAGGTAACAGTTATGGACTGAACATTTCCTCTTCTGCCACATTTTTCTCAACCTGCAACACAAACACATTGTGTCAGTAATAAAAGTCACACGAATTTTCCTTTTATTAAAGAGTTTTTATGTTTGAGTGAGTTGCGTTTTTTTTTAATATGTTTTCCTTTCAAATAAGGTTATATGAAATGTTCTTTATCAATCGTTGTCTTTTCTGTAATATATAGCAGTCCAATTTTTGTTTCAAGAACCAAAACGTATTCAGTTAAACTTGACTTAAAAATCAAACATTTCCATTTCAAGTTAACGGTGACAATATTTCCCCATTATGTCACCAACTATTACCTTTTGCTCATCTGTGTGAACTTGAAGTGAATTACTAAAGTGAAGCAGACATGGTCTGCTCACTTTTTTGGGTTATACAAGAAGTAGATCAGGATCAAGAGAACTGGTATCTATCCGGCTCTTGATGGGAGGTTATAAAAAGCTGAGTTTAGGTTTGAAGAGTAAAGCAGACATAAAGCTGGCGTCATATACTCTATAGTGCTCAAAGTAGGTAACCATTTATCTAAATTATGAAACGCAAGGTTTATAATCTCTGGCCATAAGTGTAAAAATCCCATGATTTATTACAGAGGAAAATTTAAAAATCAACACAGAATCTGGCAAACATAATAAAAAGCTACTTCCAAAGATCAACAGACTACATGGTGGGAACAAACAACTAGCAGAGGTTTGTTTAGCTGGGACAGAGAACTTAAAATGGTGCAAAGAGAACAAGATTATGGTAAAGTTACAGGCAGAACACTGAGGAGAGGGATGGGAGACAACAGGCAGGGAAACAGGGATTATGAAGGGATGATCTAGTCTAAGACAACGGGCCTCATGCAAGAACCGTTCGTACCAACAAATTTATTCTTAAATTGTTCGATTTAAGAGAAAATATGGCATTCAATATTTTCCTCCTATTCCTGATTTTCTCTCAGGTACAAACACAATTTAAGTTTGCTCTAGACATGACGTAGGAGTCAAATGTTATCCAAGCCTAGTTTTTTTCACTAAAGTACATTTAAATCAGGTCTGTGGCAATCAGGAGATGTGTGGAGCAGCTGAGACAGAGAAAACTCAGGGAGCTGAGCGAGGAACACTAATGAAAACCAGGGCAAAATACATATACACAAAAACAAAATGGAAAAAAATAACAGAAAGAATTATGAAAGTACATAAAATAAAAAGAACCATGGAAGTAATACACAAAGTTCTGAACAAAAAATTGTGGCCACTAGATAAACAAGGTGGACATGAGGAAAAGAAACACAAGAAAAATATAAATCCAATCAATCATAACAGATCATACCAAAGATAATAAGAATCTTTTGAGGAAAAAATGTGAGAAGCAACTTACAAAGAGAAACTACACAAAAACTTCATGAAAGAATATTTTGGCTGAGACGCAGCGTTGTCAATTTACTGCACAATTCAATAAAGATATTTACCAATATTAGGAACCGCTATCGCTTGACTTTATCCAACGATTGTGCTGCTTCACCATTTTTTAAGCACACCAGAAATGATATATAAAAAAAATAGCATTGTCCACCTGAAAGCTGACAGTTTGTATCACATATAGCATTTAGCTGTGGCAAAGGAGGTGATGAATTATTAGATCTCTGGAACATGAACAGTCAATTACTTTTACTGAGGATTAGGTAGAATCTTTTTTATTTATGTTTTACTTTGTGGGATTTAATTTTTCATCAGCTTGTCATGTTATAAAACGCAACGTCATCTAAAACTTTAATCTGGTCCTTTGGTCTTTTTAAATTAATTATGTCTTGTTGCGTAACTCCTAAATTAGGTATAAAGGAATTGTGATTTGTGCGTGTTTACCCGTCGCTCTTCTTGTACAGGAACCCTGCTCTCTCTGTTCCGTACTGCTTGTCTCCCAGAAGCTGATGCATACTGTACACCTGCTTCGGTAGAGAGTCCTGTACATAAAAGTAAAGCATTTTCTAATCAGCTGATCTGTATCCCATTCTGAGTGGATGTTGGTGTAGGAGTCTCCAACCTGTTCTGTGTGGACCACGGGCCTCAGCTGATCCCTGATGGTGCACAACTGCCTCTTCTCCTCCTCCTGACGCTGCTTCACCTGAACACACCAGCACAGTCACATCTCATGATTTCACTGACAGCATATGATTAATCAGAAATATCTCCACAATTCTGAGAACAATAATGATTAAAGTTAGAGATGCACC